ACGTCCATTGCATTTCTTTGTACTGGTTTTATTTCATTTTTTCAATTTTCTGTATAGATCCAAAAATGGCCAAACGAGTGGTACAGACTTGTTGGAACAGAGTTGTCAGTTTCTGTTACTGATTTTGTATTTTGGTGCTTCGAACAAGTGTTCTCCCCCCAAGGTTTTTCATCCCCTCTAATATTAAAGGGGAAAATTCTCACGACCGTTGTTTAATCCCAGCAAGACGGAAAGCTTTAGGACTAAAATGTGTAATTCCAAGTTGTAGATGGCTAGCATACAAGAACACAAAGTTGAGTCTGTCTGTTTACTGGCTTACTCATCTTTCTGAATGATAATTTAGACTTCCAACTGTTTTGAGTTGAGATTCAGCCCTTTAATTACATATGTTTATGTATAGTAGCAAACTTGAAGACATTATGGTAGAGTGTTCTCTGCTCTTGGTAATGACCCAACTATCACTTGAGCGTTCGGAGCCAGCTCTCAGTAGCCAGTTTCACTCGTTCTTCTGTGCTTTTGTAGTTTCCAAACTATTCTCTCTGTCTAAAACTACTACGGTTTTTCCAGTAATTAGTAGGAAAATATTTTGGTAATTAGCAGTAACTGTGTATTACAGCACTTATTCATCTTAATAGATTATTTTTTTCCTAGCTGTAGGTGAAAGGCATTCGCAAACAAGTTTTTATTCATGTTGCAATCATGACAGGAATGTTGTTTATCCCATACATTGTATACAGCAGCACATGAAGCATGTGGGCGTACTAAATATCAGCAGACTTCAGTTACTTTTATCTACTTGAGAAGGATGGGTAGCACACGACTTTTAGAAATATATTGGTCTTCCACTTCTTTCTGAAACTCTTTTTGCTTCAGAAGGGAAGGATACAAACATATTCAATTTTAACCTTCCACAGGGAAATTAAATCTTTAGCCACTTTTAACAGAATATTAAAAAAGCTCATTAAGTTTTGCTAAATTTTATTTTTCAGTAGCATCCTTCAGTGATCGTGAAATGGCATTTTTGGTTTTTTATGTTTTCAGTGCCATTTTCAATTGCTAAGGTATTTTCTATTACCTTTAATTGATTTAGTTAATCATCTGTAATGAAAACTCAGAGAGTAAATACTCTTTGGTCGTTACAGAGCTTAGTATATGCATCCATGTGTTTTGTTCTTGTTAATAATGCGCACCATCACTTTGAGGACTGTCTGAAAAAATTAATACAGATAGTACCAATAATACATCCATATAGTAGATACAGATTTACATAATGTACATACTAATATATATATTTATTATACTATATATAGTATACTATATATAGGTAAAGACCATATTACAGATAGCATTTGGATATAGGCAGGCTTAATTCTGTTAGTTCCAATTTTTGCGTGCTTGAGTTGGCAAATTTAAATTAATGCCATTTTAATGTATGCATTTTTGTATGTATTTGCAATCAGAAAATGAATAGTGAAATTCAAAATCTTCAGCTCCATTACAGGCACTGGAGAGGATGTGCTTTTTAATTGGCGCAGACTTTTTTGCAGGTTTGACTGTGTACCTTCTTGCCTTCAGATTGTCCTAACAGTCACCTCACTTTTCTGTCCCTGGCAGCTTCTTTTACCTTCCTTCTCCTGAAGTAGCCACTCTAGTTTAGCTATACTCTAGCTATCCTCCAAGGTTTTCTTACACAGGTTCCGGTCTTTTTCCTGTCCCATTTCCACTCGTCTCCCTTTATTCCCTGGTCTTTTGTTCCTGACATCTCTTCTGTAAATAACTTGCTGTGTGCCATCTTCCCGTATTGGATTTTGCCTCAACGAGGTAGTTTCTTTTTCATATTGCTGAGGAATAGGATGAGGCATTACGAATGTAGGAGAAAGAGCTTTCCATTTAGCAGGTGTAGAGGCAGGAGATAGCTGTAGCCTCTGGATGATACTCAGTGCATAGATTTTGAATGATTTTATGCTTTAGTAATTGTTATTGTAATTTTTTACCCTCCTCCCACTGCACTCTTATCCCTCCCACATGTAGTGTGGCCAGATGTCTTACATTTTCACAGGAATACTAAAAGGATATCAAAGGTCTTGGTTTGCCAGGTTTTAAGTCTCGTCTCCAAAAAGTAGTATTTTCCAGCAGCGTGCGGCTTTAGGCAGACACCCAGCAAAGAAAATTTCAGCCCACATGATTGAAGTGTGATAGGATTAAAGATGAGAGGATGGTTTCGTCAGGAGTAAGATGAGAAAATCTTAGAGCAGACAATGCTTCTAGTCTCTTCTGTTATGAAGGTAGCCCGAAACATTCCTTAGAGCTACAGCTGAGGAATTTAAGAAAACAAATAGCCTGTTAACTGTAGCCTCAGGTTACGGATAGCCAAGTCATCATGATCATAACTTGGACTTCAGTGATGTCCCTGAAGATGGGGGTTTCTTTGATCTCATGAGTAGTATTTGCACCCACCTACAAGCCTGGTTAAGTATCCTGAGCAGCTCTACTTCATCATGCTCCCCAAGTTCCTGTCATCTGCTTCTGTCCTCCTTGTTTCTCTTCCAGCTTTTTTGTTAAATTCCCTCTTCCTGTGTCCATCCTGCTGTAGCTCTTTCCTCTAAATGTTGAGGATGGCTCTCATCCCATCCAAGACCTAGCTAAGTTTATAAAAGCAGTGAGGTTGGATTACTGTTTCTCTTTTGAGTCTCCACAGTGTATGCAGGTTTGTTAAATGTAATGTCATCTCCTTGACCAGTGAGCAGTCTGACTTACATAATAATTTATAGATGTATGATGAATATGTGGGTTTGTGCGTCAAGGAACGCACACCTGAGTAGTGCAATATTTACTTTATTCCTCTTTTGTTTCTTATACATGTGTCTGTCAAGCTTCTGAGGTGTTCTGCTAAGCTGCAGAAAAAAATCCTATTGACAGACATATCCACTTCCACTCTCTTTGCTTTTTCAAATAAAAAAATTGCAGTATGCATGAAAGTTCTTAAATCAAGGCATCCTCACAAAGACCCCCCTAATATCAGTTCTTTCATGCCTGTATTAAGGATGATCCAGTACAAGTAAGTCTGCTGATACTTGCTGTGGCTTCATATCGTGGGGACAGAGGCCATTTCTTAGAGAATTGTGTCCCAAATTGTTTAGGTGTTCAGGCATACAAATCAATGTCTTGAACTAAGGCTTTAAGCTCATTACGAGCTAGTAATATTAAAGAGAGTTGCTTTAATGTATTTTCAGTATGCAGCTGCATTTCAGAAGCTATGAGTATGCATCTTGTACAATTAACACCGGCAACAAAGGCATAAGAGAGAAAGCAAAAGCAGGGTAGAGAGTACCTATGTATGTTGGGTGTTTAGAAATTTGCTGGGTCTGATGCAGTTCTTTGGAGAATATTTAAAACGCGTTCCTGTAAAATTGTGGATGATAGTTGAGGTTTCAGGACCCTAAATTTGTGAAGACAAAACACGTCAAGCCAATATAGTTTAGTTATGTGAAAGAATAGCATGCCTTGTGAAGTGGTACATGTCATATAACATGACTTTTGCAAAGCTTTGACTTTAACTGGAATAAATAAAATGTAATTCACCAAGAATAAGTGCAAGGTTTTATGCTAAAGAATAGTCAACTACCTCAGTAAAAGGTATGGGTCAACTGGTAGGTGGTTGGTAACTACCAAAAGGAAGTTACAGCGGATCATAAGTGAACAGGAATTCTGTCACCATATTCATTATTGATTGATTTGTGAACCTGATAAATCATTTTAGATCACACATTTGATCTGGATCAGCTTTGAACATCCAGAACAAGGGATGTGATGTTTGTGTCTATTTCGTGGTAGCTGCAGGAAAGCAAATGACACTTTTGACAGAGTAACCTTAACTTCACAGAAATATTTAAATATATTTGCATGAATAGAGTTCTAATAGGTCAGTGTTTTGCAGATGGAATGTTTAGTGCAGTATGCTACATCGCAAAATCTAATACACAGTCTCATTGAACTGTTGCCTGAATTACCGGTGTTGTGGTCTTGTGACAAAGGAGTAATAGGCAGTCTACTGTTTGTCTAGAATTGTGTGAAAAGGAAGATCTTGGATCTGAAAGCACAACCTGTGAGGACAGATTGGTTGAACTGATTTTAGCCAGAGAAGACTGGAGAGAGATAAACTAGTGTTCAAATGTCTATAAGGGATAGCTGCTGAGAAGATAAAAGAAACTAGTCAATAGAGCAAGAAACAATATGCTTAAATTATAGGAACAGTTGCATTAAATGCTAGGAAAAATATTGCAACTATAAAAATAATTGATTTCCTTATAGTTGGATGGAATAGTTTGCTTACAGAGGTTTTGAAATTACTACTTTTCGGGGATTGTAGAAAGAATTTAGAGAAATACTTCTGAAAAATAGCATAGGTAGACCTGATTCTGCCCTGGGGCACAAAGAGAACTAGATGATTTCCTGGGGCAGCCCCGCTGGGTGTGTGTGTGGGGTTATTCTATATTTAATAATCAGACTAGTTTCAACATCTGAATTTTCTCGGATAGGGTAGTTTACAATAAATCTGATCCTGAAGTGACAGTAGCATGGGTAATTGTGGCATGGGTACCACTGAAGGGAAAATGTCATATTCCTCCTGCCAGGTACAGATGGAAAAATGTGCCTGTGGCTACTGCTGTTACCTTGGCATACTAGAGCAATCCGGGATCTAATACTCTTCTTACCCTCATAACACAGACCTAGTTTGCAAATGGAGATCGCACCCTTTATAATGGGCAACAATACAAGTTCCGTCAGTTCCTCTGACTGCTTTCTTCACCTTATGATTATTACCTGCTACCTTTTGTTCAAGCCCATGGCTATATTGCCATTCTGTATTTCCTTATACGTGCTGGATACATGCTGGATAGGTATACGTAAGCTATATGTACTTTATCTAAGTAATTTTATTTGCTTTTCACCCATTAACTGGCAATGTATAAATGAGGCAATGTCATGTATTTCTCTAGAATGTCAACTCATGAAAACAGAGCGACCAAAGCCAAACACGTTCATTATCAGATGTCTTCAGTGGACCACTGTCATAGAGAGGACGTTCCACGTAGACACTCCGGAGGAACGGTGAGGGTTTTATTTTTGTTTTGCTTTCCGTGTTCTTTACGCAGAAGCCTCAGCACAGTCTCTGCTGGGACTGCACAGCGATCAGCACTTGGAACTGTGACATTCTGAGCACATCTGAACAGTTATTTGAAGAATTTATAAGTCAGCTTCTGTAAAATATTATCTGAGCTCATAGCTAGTGTAAGAGTTGCCTGCAAGTAGGTGGGATGAGTGTGTTCAAATAAGCCAAAACTATGTCATGATATGTCTCTGAAGTGTTAAATTTTGAACAATAGAAGCCTGCATTGAAGTATTTTCCAGCCTCACTGTCTTAAATTTTCCTCTTACTCCTCCTAATATGCTCCTTTTTTTGGCACAGAAAGCAGTATGTTTGTTATAATTTATTTTATGTTTGCTTATTGTTTTTTCTTGTTTCAGTAAACATACACAAACTCTTCTGAATTAACTTTTGTAATGCCCTAAAAGCATGTAGGAGATACGGGATGGTGTACCTTGCTAAAATGTTCTATACTGTGTCTCTGGTTAGATGCACCGAGTCTTCCCACTGTGGGCATCCGTCCTGTTGAGACTAATACTATGATTTGGCTTTATTCATATTGTTTGTATCAATAAATAACCAATGACTTTGCTTTTTCTGTTGTTTCTCTTTCATTAGTATATTCACTTAGATTTTTGTTTGGTTTTATTTTTTTTTAATTCTACCTTGGTGCTGTTTCTCCGCCCTATCTTTCTTCTACGTATGCAGCGTAGTACCTTGTATTGCATTCAGTAATACCACCAGACTCCTCCCGTATCCCTTCTTGGCTGAGCAAAAAGCAGCAGGTACTGCACTGGGTGCGGGGCTGTGGCGTGCTGATGGGCCAGCTGGTGTATCTATGTGTCGTGGTTTAACCTCAGCCGGCAACTGAGCACCACGCAGCCGCTCGCTCACTCCCCCATGGTGGGATGGGGAGAGAATCGGAAGGGTAAAAGTGAGAAAACTCGTGGGTTGAGATAAAAACAGTTTAATAGGTAAAGCAAAAGCCGCGCACGCAAGCAAAGCAAAACAAGGAATTCCTTCACTACTTCCCATCGGCAGGCAGGTGTTCAGCCATCTCCAGGAAAGCAGGGCTCCATCACGCGGAACGGTTACTTGGGAAGACAAACGCCATCACTCCAAACGTCCCCCCCTTCCTTCTTCTTCCCCTAGCTTTATATACTGAGCATGACATCACATGGTATGGAATGTCCCTTTGGCCAGTTTGGGTCACCTGTCCTGGCTGTGCCCCCTCCCAGCTTCTTGTGCACCTCCAGCCTTCTCAGTTGGTAGAGCATGGGAAGCTGAAAAGTCCTTGACTAGTGTAAGCATTCCCTAGCAACAACTAAAACATCGGTGCCTTATCAATTTTGTTCCCATCCTAAATCCAAAACACAGCACTGTACCAGCCACCAGGAAGGAAATCAACTCTATCCCTGCCGAAATCCAGGACACTATGCCAGTTAGCCAGTACGCAGAATAGCCATGGGCTCAGCTGCCCCTGCTTGTCCCTTCACGGAGAGCCTCATCTGGGCCTGCCCCTCCATGCAGCCACTGGTTTTTATGACACTTGTAGGAATTTAATTATCTTTGAGGGCCTCTTTCTCAGGGGAGTTTGAAATTGGCCAACAAGTTGAGTTTTAAGAGGAGACAGACAAAGAGCTGAACACATGGCGTGGTTTAATAACTTTCTTACTTTCTGTGAAAAGGTCTCGCAGGGAGGGGGAATACCAAAAAGTCTCTTAAAACAGCAAGTTATTATCAGATAGTATCAGACAGGAGATGACATTCTATGCTCTGAGCTGTATTACACCTGGAGCAAGTGTTTTCAAGTTTTCACTATTAAAATATTTACAAAATCAGACACTGGTAATTCTTGAAATTAACCATGCAGTGATCCTTTTTGATGCTGGTCAACATAATGCAGAATGTGGAAGGAAATTGAAGTGATTAAATTACATGAATCTTCTGCTGTGTAACATGAGAATTGAACATTGAAGCAACGTAGCACATGAAGAACATTATAAACCATTTATTTGGATGTATTTTACAAGTTTCTAATAGGGATGTTGGCTTGTTCATGATAGGGAAGAATGGACAGAAGCAATCCAGGCTGTAGCAGACAGACTTCAGAGGCAAGAAGAGGAGAGGATGAACTGTAGTCCAACTTCACAGATAGACAATATAGGAGAAGAAGAGATGGATGCTTCAACAACCCATCATAAAAGAAAGGTAATGACATTAAAAAAATAACTGACGACTAATATGTAAATAACTCTTGTAGAATGGTCTAGTTGAGTAAAAATATACAGGGAATAGTATTTCTACATAAATTTCAGTGTATTACAAGCATAAAAGTACTTACTTGTTTTATTTCAATAAAGCTGAACTGCTCTAGTTTTATTTATTTGTTACGCTATCTGAAACAGCACTTCTGAAAAACAAAGTTCAACCATTCAGGCACATGTTAACATTCTGCTTATTGTTTGAATATTATTTTCGTCTTTTCCTTTTTGTTTGTTTACTCTTTTAGAAGTATGGTAATAAAATATTTTCTTTCGATGAGTAGATTTGCCCCCTTTCTCATGCAAATAATACCTAGTACAAATTAGATAATTTGCATGAGAAAGGCTAGCAGGATTTGGCTTTTAATGACCTTGGTTTTTGCTATCTGGGAAAATAGCTCTGCTTTAGTTTTCAATGAAATAAGAGAAAAAAAATATTTTTTTTTGCAGTCCTTCACAGCTTTTGGTGTAAGTAGGAATATGTACATTGTTGGCCATAACATACTTGTAGTTGTATCTCTAGAGTCAACAGGATAAACACACAACTAAGAGCATGTTTTAAAGATTCAGTGCCATGCAGAAATTTGCTTATTATTTTGTGTTTCCATTTTGTCCTGTGTTTCTGTAAGTACGGACTACTCTTGAAGAATGGATCATTCAAACAGATGTGTCTCATTTACTATACAGGATTGACATGTTTCAATAAATGCATTGAAATTGCATGAGAAATTTCACCTGTTTCTTTAGGACTGGCTTCATTCTTTCCAGCTAGAAGTGAAACCTGTAGAAAACTAAGTGGAAGTCTGCTGACAGAGCAAAAGAGTCTTACAGCTAATGTAACTGAATGCCTTTGAATGATGAACAATGAAAAGAAATAGTGAACGTGTGCCTTTACTCATAAAGCGTGTTTTGTTTGTTGCACTATATGAAGCGAGGATCATAGAAAAGTCAGTGGCTGAAAACTATACCCTTATGAATATAACAAAGATGTCATAGGAAATCTTAGTTCTATCATGTCCTAACTTTTGAGAATTTGAGTTTGCAGTGCATAGTTCTTTCATGTTGTTTCATTGTATGCAATTTTCTAACCTTTTTCCACTATAGAAAAAGGTAAAAACGAATTATATACAGCTGTAACAATACTCTCATCGTACATTGTTGGGTTGACATTGAACTTTTAGCCTTGCGGCAGAGGTGTTTAATGATTGTGCTCCGGGGTAAAATATGATCAGTGACAGCAAGGCAGAGGCAGTGTTTGAGATGTGTCAGTCTTTCTGAGAGGCAGTGCGATTATGTGCAAGGGATTTGGGTTTGCTCTATTAAAGGTCTGAGCACTGTTCCAAGCCTGTGTATCCTCTTAGTAGAATACAAAACCACTGCATTAACAACAAGCATTTTCAAGGTGTCAAAATTAATGCTGTCTAATATAAGTAGTTTATCTGGAATGTATGCTTTCCTTGTTCACGGTGCAGTGCATTTTCCCATACAACAAAAGGGGTTGTGGGAACAGCAGGAGGAGGAAGATCAGTTTTGTTCCTGTCTTGCTGCTTGTGCTTTAAGAAATGCTGAAATAAGATGCTGGGACAGTGCATGTGCAGTGCCACAGAATATTTAACGGCTTTGGCAATAAGCCAAAAGCAAACTCTACAAAACAAAGGTGAAACGAAAAATGGTGATATTCAACACCTAATAGTAGAGCAGAGTGGAGTTTTTTGTAGCCAGTGAAGAGCATACTGATGACAGCAAGGATTTTTTTTTTTTTTTGCCAGAACTCAAAATCCCACTGCAGATTTCTGACTGTCGGAAGACTTCAGTGAAAAGTTCTCAGAAGTTTTTGGAATCAAAAATGTTAAGTGACCATAATGATGGGGAGTTGTCACTCCCTCTGTGTTAAATGAAATTGGGAAAAAAGTATTTTTTTAGAACTGTTTCTGTTTTGTAGAAATGTTTCTGAAAAGCTTCTGTTTAAGATTTGTAGCTGTTAATTTAATCAGAACCATTTCAGTTATAATGACAATGCGTTTTTACTGCTTTTTTTTTGGTATTGGATTTCTTTTCATTTCAGGGATTTTTTGCACAATGTGTCCTACAAGCTTGTTTTGTCACCTGATTTTACATCAAAGCCCAGTGAATTTTGCTTGTGCATGCACCAGATGGTATACATACGAGTAGAAGAGCATAATCAGATTAAGAAACAACACAGAGAGGAGTGGGCCTGTTCTCTAAAAAGGTAGCAAAAGGTTTACGAAGAAAACAGTCTTTAGGATGTGGAACTTGATTTGAACAGACATGACAGCAGCGTCTCTTGCCAGATTAGCTGGAGGAACCAAAAGCACTCCCCCCCCCCAATTTTTTTTGATGGTGTCAATGCGCCACTTAAGTTTTACAGTAATAACATCACTAAAATTCAGATCACTTCAAATTCTTAGCAAACTGCTTTTATTTCTTGCTGTACTATTCCCTGTAAGTAGAGTTTCTTCCTGATGAAGTCAGATGAAAACTTCAAGTGGTATAATCTTTGTACAAATCAGGAATTTTTAAAAATTAGCTCCTTGGTAGGAATTTTCAACACCTGTAGTAGGGTGTATTTTTTTGAACGGATCATCCATAGGGGAGTAAATAGGCTTTACAGAAGGCTGAACGTCATATGGGTCTTTGGTTAGTGCAGTTTCCTGTAGCTTCATTGCTTTTCCTTTGTTTACAAATTTGTTTTGCAGGGTGCAGGATGAATAAAGAATAGATTTTTAAGAGGAAACGAAAAAGTAATGTAATGAGGAAAAAGATTCGATCCTCAGAGTTCCGTAGGAATGAAAAAGGTGGGAAAATCATCAAGGAGAAGGGATCCAATCTTATGGGAGCCTCCAAATTTGCTTACCAACATCCCTCAGGTTTAGGAAGTATTTCCATTTTTCCACCAGTTTTCAGTACACCCTTAGCTATGGCATCTGTGTTTTTATCTCCCAAGGTCTTGTGTTCTTTGGCAGACTTGAGTTATACTGCACTGCGTATCATCTCTAAGCCTTCTGCTGAGCTTCTAAAGAATGAGAGCATCAGGAGACTTTATTCTTAGAACTAGCACTACTGCCATAACCTGCTGTTAAGCCATGGCTCAAAATCTTGCAAAACTATTACCTTCCTCTTACAAATACACATATATTTTTTAACTTGTTTTCACTGAGCTTGCAGCTAGATTCATGACTGCTTTGATAAACATTATGTAAGCAAATTTTGGGCGAATGAGTCTTTAGATTTGACTGGCTTGCTGCCCTTAGCATCAAACCCATGTCTGTGATCAGTCGAGCCAAGATCCTCCTTCTGTGTGTGGGCAAAGGGCTGCTTTTCTGAGCTGGTTTTATTCAGACTCTGATGGTCCCTCTCTAAGTCCAGCCTCTCAAAGAAGTTCAGAAGTATGGGAAAAAGTTACCCCTTTGAGACTGCTTACGATCCCATAAATTTTTGACTGTTAGAAGTGAATAAGTTGTTACGGTCAGTAACTCAGTATTCTTTATCAAAAAGCTGTTGGCCATTCTGCGTCCAGCTCTGGAGCCCTCAGCATAAGAAAGACACGGACCTGTTGGAGCGGGTCCAGACAAGGGCCACGAAAATGATCAGGGGGATGGAACACCTCTCCTATGAAGAACGGCTGAGAGAGTTGGGGTTGTTCAGCCTGGAGAAGAGAAGGGTTCGGGGAGACCTTATTGCAGCCTATCAGTACTTAAAGGGGGCTTACAAAAAAGATGGCAGCAGACTTTTTAGCAGGGCCTGTTGCGACAGGACAAGGGGGAATGGCTTTAAACTACAGGGGGGTAGACGTAGACTAGATAGAAGGAAGAAATTTTTTACGCTGAGGGTGGTGAAGCACTGGAACAGGTTGCCCAGAGAGGTGGTGGATGCCCCATCCCTGGAAACATTTAAGGTCAGGTTGGCCGGGGCTCTGAGCAACCTGATCTAGCTGAAGATGTCCCTGCCCACGGCAGGGTGGTTGGACTAGATGACCTTTAAAGGTCCCTTCCAACCCAAACTATTCTATGATTCTATGAATGAGATAGTTTATGACTGAAGATACGGAGGATTCTGCCCTACATGACTCATTTTCTGCCTGAATTGTGTTTTGAAGGCATTTTGGATTTTTCATGTATTTTTGTCAATTTTCACTGCTTTAGCACAAAGGCAGTTGTTTTTGCTTGATAGTTATCATAGAACTTCAAAGTAGATAGTGTGACTTTCCAAAGTACAGACTGTGATATTTGAGGAAGTCTTACCTTTAGTTGATTAAGTACTAGTAGCCACATAGTGTTTGGATCACAACTTTACATACTACTTCATGCATCACTAGTTGCAACAGATTATACTAGCTTTTGGAAAAGTTGACCATTTAAGGATTTGTCTGTGGTCATTAACTTTACACTCACTTGTGTGGATTTGCTTTAGGTAAAAAGTATACTGAGCCTTTGAAGTCTCTGTTCTCATATTTCTTACTGGGATACATGCAGTTTTGTTCTTCCTGATGTGACATGGTTTTGGCAGCAAAACAAGATCTGCCAGTGCAAAATGCTTAAGGATGTTTACATGTGAGCAAAGAGTGGAATTCACCAAGGTTAGTTTGCTTAGAAGCTACCAATCAACCATTACAT